CCCCAAAACCCCAAAACCCCAAAACCCCGATAATCAAGTAATTAAAGAAATAAAGCATTTTAATTAATTAATCTAGATTCATCTAAATAACAAGGAATTTATTAAGAATGAGTATTATATAGCACTCTTTTCATCTTCATTGTATTACCTATACGCATTATTATTATTATTATTATTAAATTTGATTAATCTTACTTTTCTGGGAATTCTCTGAAGAATACGAAAGTTTTATCTTTTTATTTGAGTTCTCGAAGCTTACAGATTAACTTCCTTGAGTGATAATTAAGTCTGTGCTCTTCATCGGCTGTAACGAGCAAGTCTGTTAAGAAGCTATACTCTGGAATGATTGGCAAATGATAAGGACTCAAGCTTAGTAATGATTCATAAGTATCAAAATTTTAGATGTTTCCGTATTCTTAAATGGCTTAAAACTTTCTTCTTTCGAATTCTTAAGGAGAGATGTTTGGACTAATGTTCTCAAAATCATGAAACAGATGATTCACTAAGTCAGTAATTGGATTCTATGAGTATATTACACATATTTAAGTTAACTTACATGAGCAACAACAGCATCAAATAGTATAGGTTCATTAAATACTGATGAAAGAGCTGTGATTGAGCCACTCTCGCCTGAACCCATAAGACCTATCTTTGGAGCTAGATTCTTCTCTCTAAGAAATATAGCTGAATCTATAAGATCTGTAACATGAGTAAGTTTTCTCTATCCAGCTCCGGAGTAGAACCAGTTATCATCAAAGTATCTTGTTCCTAAATTAATCAAGATTATTTAGATCATTCAAAAACTCGAAAATAATTTGATCATAAAGTTGATTTTTGGGGAAAGAACTAAGCTACTTAGTGAATTACCAGTTAATCTTAATGAATTAAAGTATTAATGTGCCTTAGTGTTTAAGATTATAGAAGATGCAAGTTTCAAAGATAATAAAATTAATCCCAATCCTGAAGAGGATTCAGAAATAATCATCCAGAATAGACTACCTAGTGACGATCCGATGATATCTAATAACTTTGAAAATCTTGAAGTTCGAGACAAATAAATAGTTTCAAGCATAAAGTTTACATATATAGACCCTCATAATGACAAAATTGAGATTGAGTACGAAATAGATCTTTAAAACATCTACCAATTAGCTCTAGTAGCTGAGTAAAAACTTATTAAATTTAATGTGAGTTCGACCTGCCAAGATATTCAAATATTCTAAGTTTAATCTTCCTAAATTGTTAGTCTAGTTCCATCACCATACAGAAATATATAATAACAGACAGCAGCATAAACAGTATAAAATGCTTCACTTCTAAGAAGAAATGGATAAGGCTCATTAATAAATGCAGAATAATAAAATATTACGATGAACTATCTGAGCTAAGCTAAATAAAGTTAAAATATAATAGCAAACGCTCCAGATTCTTAAGCTATATCTGTAAGAGATGGCCCAAGTAATATCAATTCTTAGCATTCTCAAGTAAATGCTATAAATATAAATTAGGGCAATTAAGCAAATGGTAACACTTTTTAATCTATGACAGATGGACTCGAAGTTGAGCAAGTCATAATTAGGGATGGGTTCAGATATAGAGCTAATACGAGATATAAGAACTTAATTTACTATAAATGTGAGGATTCAAAATCACTCAAATGCAAAGGTTCTTGGAAGATAGACTATACTATCACATCTACTGAAAATCAAGGGATTATTCACAAGAATCATTCCATTTCTATTTAAAATCATACATATTTTCAGGAATAAAAATAAAGCAAAACTATTACTTAGTAAATGAATCTGGCTGAAATTTAGCCAGCACTAGCAAATGAATTAATTGAAAACATGACTATACTTATCAGGGAAGATTTGGACATAAACTTAAATACAATCACTTCAAAGCTTCAAAATATGAGCACTCCTCCATTAATCCAACTTCTGAATAGACTTATGAATGTCATTTAGGATAAGCATTCAGAAATAAGAAAAAGGCTCAAGTTTGAAAAATAAGGTTTAGTAGAAGTTAAAACTGTCAAAACATTAAGAAATACCTCTTTCGGTAGAGCTACATCTCAGAAAGATTTCGGAAACGGAAGTCTTAAGGCCATTATATATTTAGCATCAGATTTTCAAATTAAAATACTCAAAGTCAATAAATAGTAAGAACATGAACAGCATATTCTGATTGATACTTAGGCTACATTATCAGAATCAAAGCCTCTTAATCATTAGATTATATTATAGATGTCAATATTTGATGTTACAACAGAATAAATGATGCCTTTATGCTAAATTGTTTCGTAAAGTAAAGAGCCTTAAGCCCTAGAAGCAATGATCTCATGGTTTTAGCAAGAATGCGGAGAGTTTTTCAAGCCAAAATCATTTCATTTGACTTGCTCTAATATTGAATAAACTTTGTTGATTGCTGAGATTGTCCGTAAGTTATTTTAGCATACTATAGTTTCATCAACACTATTTAATCTTTAAAAATGCTTGATTTAAGAGATTTCATGAGATCTAAGCAATGAACTGACCAATTAAGATAAGACATAAATATTCTTTATATTTAGTGTAATCAATCTTGAGGAAATAAATGCTCTACCATTATTATCCAACAAAATATAGGACTTAAATTCTAATAAAGCTGATGAGGTAAAGGACTTGATCAGAAGACTGAATGACACATTTATCTTGGAAAATACAAATCTATGGAATTAGTCTAAGATAATAAAAGGATTTAGACATCTATTCTTTGCTTTACAGAGAGGGTCAGAATAACAACTCCGCTATTATAATGACCCTAAGATTTGTAATTGGTCTCAATTTCATACTGATAGGAATAATCTCACACTTTTATTAGACAATATCAAAATGATTGAATAAAATAAATTTAAAGAATACACAGATTGTTAGGATAAATGCAAGGGCAGAAAGACTATGCTTCATGAATATAACTTTAACGGTTTCAATCCTTATTATTGTAGAGAGCAATTTATCATTAGTGATTGGATATAAGAACTTCTAAGAAAAGGCGATGTAATCAATGATAGACTCCCAGATGTAATTATTAAAGAAATTGAGAGAGATATTAATGATTATAAAGGTTCCAATTTCGATAAGTATAGAAATGCTTTTAAATTCGATGGCTGGAATAATAGCACTAAGGTTATCAAAAAGGAGGAAAGTCTAGTAAAAAATGAAGAAAAGGAATAGACAGACTAACTTGTAATTGCATAAATGAAAAAGGAATCTTGTGAAATTTAAACAAATTCTTTAACTATTGCAGCTAGTGATATTAATAATGAAAATAAAGAAATGTAACATTATCAATCATAAGAAAACAATTAAATGGCATCTAACTAAGATTAGCATGATAGTGATAAGGAGCAAAAATAAAATCAAGGTTAAATTGATGAATAGGTTTAGTTTTAGGACGAAACTGAGGAGCCAAAAGATCCTATCAAGTAAGCAGATGAAAGGATTGAAATTGATGCAGATTTAAATCATCCTAACCTTGATGAATGATATAATTAATTTTAATAAAGTTTATTTCATAATGTTA